CCTTGAATTGTGATGTGCTGCTTCTTTAGACCAGTCAAAGATTTTAAAGGTCCAGTGTGAAGGAGTTAGGGGCACAGAGCCCACCATGTTGTTCTACAGTAGCCCAGAATGGACAAACCAAACACTGGCTCTAGGTAGAGCCGTTTTATTGGCATGCTTTCACGTCAGCCACAACAGCTCTCCTACACACATTGGAGAAGTGTCCGTTCTGCAACCTCACCACTAGATGCCATTAAATCCTACACACTGGACCTTTAAGAGGAATGTTTTCATAACCCTGACACATTTGACCCCTGCTGCAGAAAGGTCAAATGTTTTCCAGGCTCATTTGTTACATTTTTTTATCCTAGTTTACACAGGGACCAGGGTTACTGCATGTAGATTTACCAGTTCAGCACCTCTTTTACGTTTTCATTCTTGCGTTATGTGTAATTTAATCAAATAAAGAGTTTTATCAAATTCATTTTTTTTTTCATTTATTGGTCATTTTTTATTATTTCACATATGGGTAAGCTGTGATGGAAATACCGCTGATTAAAAATCCAAAAAGTGTAGAAAACAGGATAAAATATTAGAGGATATTCACATGGCTGGCCTTTTTTGATTTCTTAAAGCCAAGGGGTCTTTTTGGGACTCTGACATCATTAGCTGACATCCGCCTGAATGTGGATTTTGTACTAATATCAGTGTCACAAATTGTGCAGATACAAATATTAATGGGGCAATGCCTGTGAGCTAGTCCAGGCAGCCAAAAATTTCTCAGCTCCCCCTCTGCTTTACTGCTACTGCCATGCCTCAGTGTTGCTTCTTACTCTTTCAGCCCCACTTAACTAACCAACCCACCTATAATTTTTTATAGCATAGAAAATTCTAACAACAGGACAAAGTATTATTTGACCACTGAATGCCTGTTACTTTTAACTAACTTTTCATGCTGTTGTCTCGGCCAGGACTCCCTTGTCAAAAAAGATTAGGAATCTCTGTGGGAATATTACTAAAATAGAGATTAAATAAAATAAAATGAAAGATTTCAGGACTGAAATTCTCACTTGTTTTTTTCCATTTGAACTACTGTGTTTTAAAATATTTAAACGTCAGGAGGTGAGGTGGGTGCATGTGTGTGTGTGTGTGTGTGTGTGTGTGTGTGGAGAAGAGGGGGGAGAGGGAGAGAGGGAGATGCTGGTAGAGAGATAGAGTGTGTTATTAGTCACTGTTTATGCCACTTATTATGCTTCTGTGCATTGCTCTTTTTTATGCTGTTTCTGTATTATGTTGAGGAGGGCCATGTATATGTGTGTGTGTGTGTGTGTGTGTGTACACACACGCTAAAAAAAGTGGATTGGTTGCTCGCTGCTGAAAATGTGGCCTATCGACATTTTCTGGTTAAAGAATAAGGCCCAGTTAAATTTGTTAGCCCTGCTGTCAGGTATATTTGTAATTAAAAGTCAAACAGCCACATTGGGTGTGAGAATGTGTAGATAGGTGTCAGAGCAGGAACAAAAACTGCAGCCTGAAGCATTTTACCTGATAAAGCTCCGGAGGGGAAAGCCAAAGTCAGAGTCAAGCACACGTGTGAAGGAGGTGCAGTGGCAGATGTCCCTGAGCCAATGTTGTGTCTAGTATGAGATAAGACACTGGACTCAACCTGCTGTGCTGTGCTGGGGATTCAACGTAAAGGTTATCTACTAAAAGTCAACGTCAAGTATAGTGACATTACAGGAGCTTGATGTATCATGAAACTAATATAATATAACAGTGCTTAAGGGGCTAGGTAACTAGGACAACTTAGAATCTGAAAAACTGTACCTTGGTGATAAGTGTATCTCTAAAGGGTCGTCATTTTTAATTAGCATGAGGATACAGAATACTAAGTAGAAAACAGCAATAAAAATGTGATGTTATAGTAACCCCTTTTGACACAGATAAGGAACCAGTTAAGACCACACTTGAATAGGTCAACATAGACTCAAAAATTATTTGTACTCATTTAAAAGTAGTATACACGAGCATCCTCTTATAGCAAGAGGGTTCCCGGTTTGAATCTGGGGTGGGGGGGGGTTCAAGCCCCAGGGTGGGGAAGCCCTTCTGTGTCAGTGTGGGTTTTCTCCAGCTTCCTCCCACAGTCCAAAGGTTAATTGGAGACTTTAAATTGGCTGTAGGTGTGAATGAGAGCGTTAATGGTTGTCTGTCTCTTTCGGTTGGCCCTGCGATAGTCTGGTGACCTGTCCAGGGTGTAGGATAAGCGGTTACCAAAAATAAATGAATAAGCATATTCAGCTTTTGTAACCCAGTCACCAGAATAAATGTTGGCATTGTAGGCTACCTTTCTGCAAACCATGGAAATATTACGTTTGTATGTTATATTTAGTAGCAGATACGTTGAAATTTTATGTTTCAAAAACACTGTGGTTACAGTGTGGTTATGGTTACAGTGTGGTTATGTTTAGGCACTAAAATCACTTGGTTATGGTTTGGAAAAGGTCATGTTTTAGTTTATAATACCCACTTCAGTCAGGAAAACTTTAGTCAAAGAAAACTTTATTTCCATTTGCAGTCTTATATTTGGCTGTACGGCTCTGTTCTGGGGCCTCTCTGCTTTTCCTCGGGCCTACGTGGAAAGCCTAAGCCAGAGAGAGCAGCAGCAAAGACTCCCCGGGAACAGAACAGAGCAGCATCAATGACAAACAGAAATGACATTGATAAGTCAGACACAGCATGAAAAGGAGGAGCTGGGGTGCAGGCAGATTACAAAGTGGCCTGCAGAGGAAGCAGCAACAGTAGGCAGGCCAGAGCAGTTTGAACAGGGCTCCCTGAGTGAGATTTGCCAATTGGTTGCATAGAAAGGAATCATGTGATCTATCAGCTGACTCCCTTCCATCGATCAGCTGCTCCATCAGTTGATTGGGCTGTTTGAGATCAGCCAATGTAGCTGGGATGTGAGCTGAGCTTGACAAAGTGTCCTGCCTGATCTAACGCCATGCACAATTTTTGGTGCCACAATCCCCACTGGAAACACAGCGATTTCTCTTCTTTTTTTTAAATTGTTTTCTGTGGCACTATCTCTGGTGTAACAGCTATGTCACATTAAAAAACAACCACAGTGTGTGACACTATCCCAGCAGAAAACACACCGATGTTGGTAAAAAAAACAACAGCTTTTTGTGGCCTGGTATGCCTGGTAGAAAAACAGTTACAGGGTGTTAAAACACACCTACGTTTGGTAGCTAAATAGCTGCTGGAGTGCAGGAATGTCTTGTTAGAAACACCCGGTTTTGTTGTTTGTTGGTGTTGAACAGTAGTCTGCAGCATGGCAGGCATCTCGCCTAGATGTCGCGTAGGGTTCAATCCCATCCACCTCAAACAAACAAGTAAGCTCATATTCTACATCTCATTAGAAACACTGGATCACATATGGAATGTGACCAGGGTTTCCAGAAATGTACAATGAAACTAGTAGGCAACAGCACTCACAAAAGACTAGAAATCTATGTTTTAATAGGGCAACACACGGCCAAACAAAATGACAGATGCGTTTCGGCCTAAGCCTTCTTCAGTGTATCAAACAGAGGCAAAGACACTGAATACTATTTATATACATAGGTAAAGTTCTAGCACCAATCACAGTGCAAGGTGTAATGAGAGGCAATAGAAACCATATGTGTAGCAGCTGCAGCCAATGACAGGCTGACACAAGACAATTGCCAAGACTGATGCACAAGAATCAATACATGCAAACAGAGATATTCAAATACATTGAAACATATAAGAACATCAAAATTATTCAGCTTCAGACTAGCTGAATGAGAAAAATGTTAGACAATAAGAAGGGGAGAATTAAGGTGACAGAAAAGAGTCTCTGTAAAATTGTCTTTCATGTAAGGATGAAATTTCCTGTTGTCTTTTTTGACCATTAGACTACTTTAGGATATATTGTCCCTTTTTATGAGGACTTCTTTTTTAATACATTTATATTCGGTGTCTTCATACATATCACAGAGGTTCCACTAATCCTTGAAGCCCCTGTATTCCCCTTTTGAATGTAAATGTCTCCCTCTTTTTCAGAGACTTTTATTCACCTTAATTAATCAGTTTACTGTTCCCTCCACTATTAAGGCTACTCAATATTATACAATTGATTAGTAGAGACCTGTAATCATTTTTAAATCTTTTCTAACTCTATATTTTTAGTATTGATATTGGTGTAGATTCTTTTTAATAGGTTCAGGCTATTTTTCTGGGGTTCTTCTAGTCCCTAGTAGAAGTATATCCAGTGACTTAAAAGCCTCTTTTCAGTCTTTTCTGTCACCTTAATTCTCCCCTTCTTATTGTCTAACATGTTTCTCATTCAGCTAGTCTGAAGCTTAATAATTTTGATGTTCTTATATGTTTCAATGTATTTGAATATCTCTGTTTGCATGTATTGATTCTTGTGCATCAGTCTTGGCAATTGTCTTGTGTCAGCCTGCCATTGGCTGCAACTGCTACACATATGGTTTCTATTGCCTCTCATTACACCTTACACTGTGATTGGTGCTAGAACTTATGTATATAAATAGTATTCAGTGTCTTTGCCTCTGTTTGATAGACTGAAGAAGGCTTAGGCCGAAACATGTCTATCATTTTGTCTGGCCATGTGTTGCCCTATTAAAACATTTTGACTCTTGTCTTTTGTGAGTGCTGTTGCCTACTAGTTTCATTGGAATCTCTCTGCAACTTGCACCCATCACGATTGGAAATACTGGAGTTGTGCGTCCTCCTTCCTTCAGAAATGTACAATGCCAACATTTTCTTTTGGCATCTGGGCTGCTTACATTACATAATCACACTCACCAAATCCTAAATTGACATGTTACTATGCTCAATAATTACAGGGAACAACCAACAGCAGTCACTGTGCTGACTTGCATGCAAGTCTTTCCCAAATCACTTTGACTCACCTCTGTACAGCAGCAGGTTAATTCATAACACAAATGTTCATCAAGAGTGCACACACTCACAACACAGATCAAAATCCAACTTTATTACCAAACAATGATTACAGCATATCTCACCTCAAACAAAGTACAGAGAAAGATCCATATGATTTACTCTTCACACTTTACAGTGGGCGGGATGCAGACCCGTTATTATCTCAGGGAGACGGCGATACAAGGCAACTGCACAGCACTTAAGTCAAAGAGTGAGTTAAAGGGGGGAAAATCTTCAACTGCAACCTTCTGCTGTGTTATGAGCAGTTATCTGGACACTCACATAGATGCATTTCACTGTGGCCTAAATAAAATGAAACCAGAGAAAATGTTTTCCTCTATGTGTAAACTAACCTGAAAAGATCCAAACAGTACCACACAGGGTTACAGATCAGATTGTGCTACAGTGTAAAGTTTGCTTTGTATTCTGAGGTGACACCTGCAGTGCAATACACAGTCCAGTTTACTGTTTAAACAAATGTAACACAGCAAGTTCTGACAGTAATGTTACAATAAGAGCTTTAAACTAGATAATGCAGAAACAGAGGAAGCATGTTACACAACTGTGTTGTTAAAACTAGAACAATCAAATGTAATGAAATGCAATCTTATATAAATCTAACTCTGCAAATTGTAATATGAATGTATGATTGTGTAAGATTCTCTTTTCACAAGCAGACAATAGCTACTGAGTCACATTATGCTGTAAACATACAAATTATCCTCAAATGAAATGATCTATTCTAGAAAATGTAAACAAACACATGAAAATGAATATGATTGTCAGCACATTCACAGTGTCCCCTGAGGTTTGTGACTCAAACAAAGACATCAAACTCTTCTTGCCAATCAAATGAAAGGTTTGGTAATCCAAAAGTAAACCAAAATTATTGATGTTGAGACACAGACAAAGAAATAGAGATTAGAACGGGCCTTCTCATTCAAATCAGTGCAGCAGGATGGTCAGAGCGGCGGACATTTTTATGTGTAATGTTGCCATTTCCAAGTTGTGAACTCACTAAGGTGGGGTTTTGCAGTAACGACCAAACAAGCAGCTGAGTAGTGCGTTTTTAATTGAGCAATCTGTCAATTTAAAAAATATTACCCTAACTGTTTCTTTTGTTGCCATCCGTTGCATGATTATTGAAACACGATGTAACGCTACTGTAGCTGCCTCAGAAGAACAAATAAAGCTGCTGCTCAGCGGGCAAAGAGGCAGAGCCAGCATATTTTTTACATCTAACTCGCTGAGTTAAGAATTTATTTCGATCAAACCAGAACTGGTGATTGTTGTAAAAGCCTACTAACTAACTAACTAGATTAGTAACAAGAATAACTAAGTCAGTTTTGTTGAGTGTTGTTTTGTCGAGTTTAAATGAAGGTTTTTTAAAATGAGTTAACGAGGCAGTTAAGTTTATACTAGTGTTAGTTCAGTGAAAGAGAGAAACTTGGATTGGTGGTTTGTATTTTTCTGTTTAATAGGGACAGTAGGTGTAAGGATAGGCTGAAACAGAGTCCTTAAACTGACATGTTTTGTCACCATAGCAACTCATAACAATCGCCATTTTCTTTTGTACTCATCGAATGACCAAGGTAAATAGTTCAATGTCCTTTCTACTACTTCTACTGTGCAAACATCAAATATTTTTGTCCTCAGATTTGTATGTATCCCAGATATGTACTTGAATATGTCGTGTATGAGTTGTTTTTTAGCCTCTGCAGGGTAAGACTGGAACAATAAGCACATTTAATTCTCTTAAGTCCTGTTGCTGCCAAACAAAGTTAACAGTAGTCATGGCAAACAACTCTGCCAACTGCAATCAGCCGTAACCTTATATTGTCAACAAAACTGTGGCATGATAGCAGGTTGGAACTGGTTTGGCATCATTTATCATGATGAAACGTCTCCTTCGACATGGGAGAAATGATTTTGAGACTATCAGAGAGGGCAAACAACCAGCACAAATATGATCATGAAATGTAGAAAATGTGCTGTGAATTCAGACTTCTAAACAATCTGATCAGTGCCACCAGCACATGGGGCCTGTGTAAATATGGCAAGAGGAGAGTATGTCTTTGAGATGTGATGTCATTGAAAAAATTTTGTGTGTGCTTGTCACCCTCCTTCACTGCTTCACCTGCTGACAGGATCTGAAGAGATCTAACTATTAAAAAAGATAAGAATTAAATAGACATCATGTGAACAATCTTCACACCATGTTTAGACAGCAATGATATGTTAGAAAGAGCCACTCCTCCCGAGTCAGGTCTTTGTGTGCTTTGTTTTCATCTGTAGGAGTAGCTCTCATCATCATACTCCAACTCAATCTCATCTTCATCCAAGAGTCCGTACTTGAACTTCCGATACACCGTCCCATCCTGTCCCATGTACACAATGTCCTCATCGTCATCGTCTTCCTCATCATCCTCGCATTCGGCAATGCGATCGCTGTACTCCCCAAATGAAGAGACAGCAGGCTGTAAGGCAACGCCTCCATTGGTATCCAGTTTCTCATAGCCTCCTGCTTTGATTTTAGGTGCCATTGCAACTGTTCTAGATCGAGCATTGAGGAAGAGGAAGACTCCTCCGCCCACAGAGAGGATAACTACAACACAGGCAGTGACAAAGAGTTTGGCGGTGCTGCCTTCGGCCTCTGAATCCTCTCTCATCAGAAAGTTGACACCCAGGACGCACTCCTCTGAGAAGGGGGAGATGGAGCACGACATTAGGTTACAATAACAAATGTAATCTGTAGACATCTGTAGACTGTTAATTATGTTTAATGTCTAACTTGCTCTGAGTTTCAGTGATTATGTTTGCTGATAAGATGCTCTGTGCCTTGTCTCATGGTGGCGCTTCACATTGCTGCTTTTAATAATCACCATGGTTTTAGACAATATGATCAAACATGCTGGTTTTGAACTGACCATCAGAAGAATGAAAATATTACAGTCTGTCAGTTCTTGATCTAAACCTTATTTTTTTACATTCTCACTCCGACCTTCTCACATATTGACTTTCCACTTCCACATACGACGTGCAAGGTACCCTGGGTGTGTTGGTTATTGACGTTCTGGGACACCGTGTGTTCCGCCTGTTACATGTATTGTCTTCTTTCAAAATACACTTCTGTTTTCACAGGAAATTTCCGTTTACATACAGTCTCTTTCAAAATAAATGCACTACATGGGTACAACACAACAAATTGACGTTTTGTTTTTTTTTTTCCTTGAACAACAAAAACACATGCTTGGGTTTAGGAAACAAAAGCTCATGGGTGGGTTTAGGAAAAAAGTACAGGGAATCTTATAAGACATGAACATCGCTCTCTCGGGTGAAAGTCAGTGTTTGTTGGACCCATCCACCACCCCTCCAACCCACCACAGTTTGACTTTCGCCCCCTTAAATTTCATCCTTGTCCTACCGCATTTCCCCCTGACATCGCTGGGTGCCATTAAACTATAACGGCAACTGGCCGCGTATCATGCAAACTTTAAAAGAAGCCTTTTTTCATTGGTTTCTGACGCTGCAATTTCGCTGACTTCAGAGTTACTGTCTACTTTTCTCTCTTTAGAGCCCGCCGTGAGATTACTTTTCTCTGACTTTTTTATTTCTCCGACTGTTGTCTCTGGTCTCGTCTCATCTTACTCACTCAAGTTGCAATGCTTATCGGAATGCACAGATATGATTGGCTGAGTGGCATCGCACGAGATAATTTAACACGTACAATTGGTCTGCGGTCCCCTAAACCAGTGCTATAAATGCTTTATGGGCTAAAATAGAAATGTACATTTAAAATTCAATATTTCTCAATAGTTTATAGGTTGTAGGTCTGGGTTTGGATAGGACAGCAGCTTGGTCTGGAGCCAAGGGACGAAGAGCGGTGGCAGGTTAAAGGGGGAATGTATTTTGGTCATTTTGCAAATGAGGGGATGTCCTTATATCACTCACTGTCTGTGGGCCTGTGCTGGAACTGTTTCTGATGAATCCTTGTGTGGGATTGTGTGTTTTAAAAGACTCTTGTTTTAGTGAAGTGCAGTCTTGTCTTTAATGGCCAGAGGCCAAGAAAGTTTGGAAAATTTCTTGAAATGGCAACATATTTTCCATCATCCTAAAATACTGGAAACTCCTATTTGGCAGGAAGATGAAACTCATGTCTACACAGTGGGAACGCTATCAATTAGTTGAATTATAGAAGTCAGCCATTACAAATTACAGATACCCTAAAAGAATGTGACTGTTGACTCACACGCATATGAACACTATTTTCCAGGGAACACTTCTCAATACAGTGTGTATGTGTATGTGTATGTGTTTGGTTGGTGGTCTGTGTTCCAGTGTGGGTTCTCGTTTACCTCGTGAGGCCTCGCAGTCACAGCACTCCCTCGGTATTGGTTTATCATCATGGCGTGTCTCATTACCACAGCAAGACAAGCAGCGGCCATCATCAGACAGGATCTGGAGTGCGGGACACACTGTACAACTCTGCATGCCAGGACCTCGGCAGTCCAAGCAGGATGGGTCACACGCCTGGCAGTTTGGCTGATCGTTGTCAGACTCAGAGCCCTGAAGCAACAGAAGGATTTGTTACAAAGCATTTTACCTCCACATACAGCTCCGTGACTTACAGAGCAGCTTTGCAAAACTACAGCTACAGCTTTTAGATGTTATTCATTTTTCATGAGGCAAATGTGATACGTTGGTTGAGTATAGAGAAAAACTTTGTAAAGCAAGCTGACTGTCACCTGTGAAGTGGTGTAGAAGCCTACAAGACACTGGGCTGCACAGATGCCTTTCATGAATGTGTAGCCTTCATAACAGGATTGACAGAACAGAGCGCCGCCAGCTGGAAGCAGAAAGATGCTGACAGTTGTTAATCACATGGTTGAACTGGAATTTCCAGATTGAAAACATATCAAAAGGCGCACAAGTATGTCATCCCTTGGAGGGGAGTGTACAATAGATAAGATATTTATCGTTAGAGTTCTTTAACACACATTATACACCTAATTGCAGTGGCGCCCCTGATACGATTTGCCCCACTGGCAAAACATCTGACATCACTGTTTTACAGAGGCTGTGGCACAGTCTTTTCTTAAGCTCATGTAAAGGTAGTGGTATCTGGTGACACTAGACATCATAAGCCAGTGGTTCCCAACACATTTGTAGGGGATGAGTTTCCCTGATATTTTACAAACTTTTTGTAAGATTCTCTTTCTGTATTCAAATTCAGTGTTTTCTTCTTTCTGAGGGTCAGCCATTGTTCTATTAGCTCATTGTTTTCACTGCAGGGCGAGGCTGTTGAGCAAAGAGTAAAGGCTCTGTGAATATAGCTGTTCAGGTCTTTACTGTGCCCTCATCCTGTGAGGTTTTTTTTAAATTTATATCTTGAATAGTAATCTAAACTTTAAAAATAACAATTTCATTTAGTTTCCATAAGTAACATAAGGAAATGCAGAGTGTGATATTCTATCACGCTTATGTTCATGTGTTTGTGTCCACATCCTGTTTTATTTTGAAATGTGTTCTTGTGTTTAGTGTTTCTTTTACACCCTGAGTTTTCCCACCTTTGTTAATAACCTCATGTGTTTCACCTGTGTCTTGTTCCACTAACCTGTGTGTAGTTAGTAATCATCCCTTGTGTAATTAAAGCTCACTGTTTCCCCCATTTAGTTGCCGGATTGTCATTGTTGCCCTAGTGTGTTCATGCTCTTCAGCCTTTTCCTCGTGTTTGATTCCTTGGTTTTTGACTCTGCTTGGGTTTATGGACTTTGCTTTTTGTGTGATTTGCCTGAATGGACTTTTCTGCCTTCGCCGACTGCCTTCACATGTTTGACCCTTAAACTCTTGAGTAAAGATTTGGATTTGAACAACTGTTCTTGGTGTTTTGTGTTTTCCTCTGCAACTGAGTCCCAGTTTTATACTAGATCGTTACACAGAGATATATGCCTACTGTATATATTTCTTAAAAGTTTTCTTACACCCCTTAAAAACAAGAAGACCCTGCTACCCCCTGTGAAGCTTGAACAACCCCTAATGTGGTCGGTAACCTCCATGCTGGAAACCCCTGACCTGAGGCATCCATAGGAACTCAAAATGTTAACTATATCAGTATTAGTCTGTGCACATCAAATAATTGGTAACATTAACTGTAAAATAAGAAACCAAAGTACATCAGTATGTGTGCCACCCCCAAGATTTTCATTTGCCCCATTTCACTGCCCCTATGAAAAACTTCTGGGGCGCCACTGCCTATTTGAGAATATATGCCGAGATGTAATGTAAAACATTTTTATCCTGAGGTGTCCTGGTAGGTCTTGATAACAATGTAAAATCACATAAAATACACCTAATGCCAAAAAAAAAAATAAACAAACAAAAAAAGCAGAAATAAGCCATGACAGGCTTCCTTTACCACTGCAGGTTTTGCAGGTGGGATGACACTTGTGACAGGTCTTGGACCATCTGTCTTGGTAGTAGTCTGGAGGGCAGCTTTGAAGGCACTGTCCCTGCTGCCTCAGGTAGACGAAGCCCTCCCGACAGAGCAGACAGTTTCTGTTACCACGACCCCAACACTTGGTACAAGAGGGGTCACATCGCTCACAGACCATGGTGGTGGTGTTGCCAAAGTGACTGCAAAGGAGAGAGGATATCTGTTTATCATGTTCTTTGATGAAAAAGGAGAGGAGACTTTGTGTGTGCGTGTGTCTTTACTAACCTCTCTGAACAGGTTTCCACGCAGCTACTTCCCTGCTTGAAGAATCCAGATCTACAGTCGACACACTGCACACTGTGACGACCAGCACATGACTTACAGCTGAAGTGGCAGCGTTCACACGCACGTTCGTCTTTGTCCTCTGCATAGTAACCAACAGGACACTCCTGCACGCATGTGCTGTCTGATGGACACAGTCACAAAGTTACAACTTTAAAAGGACATAAGAAGCACAACATCTAGTATTGCAATAACTTACTCAGTATGAGGTATGGTGGGTTGCAGCTGAGGCAGTGGTCTTGGCCTGACCCAGAACAGCGATGACAGAGTTTGTGACACGACCGGCAGTCCCCATTATGGTCCATGTATGAGCTCAGAGGGCACTGACTGAACCACACACAGTGACCGCTGGCATCTTTACGCCTGTTGGTGTCGCAGGTAAGGCAGGATGAGGGCTCATGGCCTGAGCAGGTCAGACATGACCTGTCACAGTCTGGAAAAACAGAATGAGACACAGTGTAGCAAAAAAAAGTATTGTATTTGATGTTGCATTATTAAAATAAACTTCCACCTTCCCTACCTCTGCATTCATTGGTAGTCGCATCATAGTAAGTGCTGCTGGGACACTTAGCCAGACACTCTCCGTTGTAACGCACAGCTTGCGGGTTGCTACACACATCACAGTCATCAAAGCCTGGTCCATCACAAGAGGCACAATCCGCGTGGCAACGCACACACTCCTGTTGCTTCTCACTGGCAAAGTAGCCATCGGGACAATCATCCACACACTTGTCGTTATGGAGGAAGTAGTAATGGGCACACTCTGGGAGAGAGTAAAAGAAAGGGTTATGCAAAACAGCATTGTTTACATTGTCTGCAAAAAACAATACGATTTCTGGGCCAGTGAGAAGTGGCAGAGGCACATCTCCAACATGTAGCAAGAAGTTAGAGGACATGTGTTTGTAATTCCATTCACACTTCTGTAGACTCAAGATATATATATATTTTTTTTGCAGTGGCAGAAACCTGAAGTGTGTGTGAGCGCTCATCTTCTCATGTGTTGCCTGTTTTTGAGCTGTTGTTTAATGTGGAAGGCGAGCACATGCCTGAACTCATCCAGGCCAAACTTGAACTTGTAGTTTGGCAGCCTGACCCGGCTATGACTCAGAATAATTTCCATAGGAAAAGTCTTATCACCTTTGAGCAATTCCTGGGAAGTCTCTGTATCAAGTGACATGGGAGCATTAATGGCTCCAGTGAGAAAGTCAGTGATGCAACACATCATGAATCACTGAAGTGGAAGTGGTTGTGCTTCCCAGATTATGCTCAAGTGGTGACTCACCATGTGGATTATTGCATCAGGATGAAAGTTCAGTTGACTTTATTACCCCTGAAAGTGCATCTGATTACACGCTGTCATTACTGTAACAGGAACAACTCAAGCCAGTAGTTTAAAGGGACAGTATCAAAATCAAAAATGCATATTTTTCCTCTTACCTGTAGTGCTAATTATAATTGTCTAGATTGCTTTAGTGTGAGTTGCCCAGTTGGAGATACTGGCCATAGAGATGTCAGCCTTCTCTCTATTATAATAGAATTAGATAGCACTCGGCTTGTGGTGCTCAAAGTGCTAAAAAACATTTGAAAAACTCAACAGAAATGTCTCTTTCCAGAAATCATGATGCAGTTACTCAAGATAATCCACAGACCTTGTTGCAAACATTCAACTAGGAGTCATTTTCTCTCTGTCAAACATCACCGCACAGACGGAAGCGTCCATCTACTGCTAGCTCACCTAGCACCACTGAGTGAGCTTACATTACTGCTCAGCTGAGAGGGACAACATTAATGTCTACATCTCACGCTGTCACAAGCATGAGCCTCTCGTTTATGAGTCGATATATGCTTCCTACAATACTGCATGAAACTGCTCCCAACAAGGTCTGTGGATTATCTTAAGTAACAGGGTTATGATTTATGGGAAGAGACATTGCTGTTGAGTTTTTTAATTGTGATTTTTAGGCACTTTGAGCACCACAAGCCGAGTGCCATCTAGTTCCATTATGCTGGAGAGAGGGCAGAAATTTCTATGGCTGATATCTCCAACACTTAGCAAATCACACCAAAACAGTCTAGACTGATAAGTAGCACTACAGGTAAGAGGTTGAACTGTCTGATATTTGTTATTCAGCAGACTTAAAGTTTATATAGCCTTTTATTTGTACTTCAGTTTCTTTTGCACCAAAGTCCAATTTTTTTCCTTGTGCAGCCCAATCACATGATCACATGATTGGAAACCACCAGATGTAATTTCCCAAATGAAAGAAACCATCAGTGGTGTACATTTGGCTTGATTTAATCTTTTGCCCATTCCCTCGGGCAGCCCTCACATCCTGTTCCTCACACTGACAATTTCTTCTTCTCACCACCATGATGAGGCGGAGTCATGAATAAAGAGCTTGTTCACGTTCAACCTCAGTGATAACCATACAACTAACATTAACACGATAAATGAAAATGCACTGTCATGTTATTCCATTAAGACCCATCATATTATATATAGATATACATATACTCTGAAACTTTACTCTCTCTATGTACTCTGACCCCGACAAATGTTGTTTTATCTGTTTTATCTTTCCCCGACTCATCTTCTCTCTAATGTCTCTGTATTCCTCCATCCTTCTTGTCATCAGATTTTCCTCACTTCCTTTACCCTTCCAACTCTTACAGTTAGGCTTCATGGCTGAACTATTTGCAGTCGAGTAAGCAGGGAAGGAGCTCTTTGTGTTTACACCTCATTTTCCTTCTCCTCCTCCTTCTCCTCCATTCAGCTACTTCAACAGTAACTAATTACCTCTCAAAAGAACACCTCTCTACGTCTTCTCTTTCTCTACCCTCCACTGCTTCACCCAGCGTACTTACTCTTACATAGGCCATCTCGATTGCACTCTTCACAATGAGCTGGACAGCGATGGCACTCTGTCTTGGAGGTGTAGTAGCCCTCTGGACAGTGTGACCTGCAGGAGTGGTCCAGCAGCAGGTACGGTGCCTCACAGCTCAGACAGTGAGAGGAATTTCCCTGGCAGGATGTGCACTCTGGAGCACACGGGCGGCACACGCCACCTTGAGGAAATCCTCTGGGAAGGAGGCAGAGAGAGGAGATTGTGAGGATGATGTAAAGTATGTTTTATTTGACAGAGGACAGCTTTGAAATGGGGAAGAGAGCGAGAGAGAGGTATGACACGCAACAAAGGTCCCAGGGCTGGAACTGAGCTCAGTATGTTGCAGTTATATGACATGCACTGTAACCACACGGCTTCAAAAGTGCTCCATCACTGATGTATTGTCATGGAGTGTGGTCATGTGCAAGTCAAGAAATGAGAAAAAAGGACAGTTACCTCTGACACTCCACCACACACCCTCCATTTTGGAGGTTAAGTCCATTGCGACAGTGCTGGCACTGCTGGGCGTCTTGGCATATGACACACCCTTTTGAGCAGTCTTCACACTGGCTGGACGCCTTGTTGGCAAACGTGCCAGGTGGACAACGAGGCGTGCAGGTCTGTCGAGCGGTCAAAAAACGACCTGTGGGCAGAAAGACAAATCGTACCACTGATACAATAAGTGGTCAACAGCTTTACCGTCCTTTCTCACTGCCAGCTAAGAAAAAATCATGAGACAAAGAAGCTCACTAAATATAGAGGCTCAGACCAATGTGGCATACAGACAGTAAATGTTTACCAGAGTGGCAGCTGTTGCAGTCATCCTTTCCTGCACCAGAGCAAGTCTTACAAGTGGAGTGGCACAACTCACAGTCGCCCTGACCTGATGGTTAACAGCAAACAGAAACCAGGACAAAGTATGTAGACATGAATGACATGAAGATGGAATAAAATAAGAAGGTAAGATTCCCCACCATGGGCTGAAAAAATGGCTAAAGGATGTGTTATTGTGTACCTAATGAAAGATGCAAAAAATAAGTTGTTAAGTTGTTAAGCTAAGTTGCACGTTTATATGATGAAAACTGTCAGCATCACACTTTACATGTGCAAGTAAAGACAAGTAGGTAACACTGACAACATTTAGTACTGAGGTAAAATTTGCCATACTGTTTCTGAAGTGTGTCTCAGGGCAGAGAGCAAGCTGTCTGTCCTTAACACACTCCCCATTGATCAGCATGAATTCGTCTTCACAGGAATCACAGTCGTCATATCGTGGCCCTCCACAGGTGCGACAGTCGCGGTGACAGGGCTCACAGTCTCGGCTCTCGTCATCCACAAAGAAACCTTTCTTGCAGTGATCCACACACTTGCCATCTAGACACACAAATACACATTTTACTTCTTCTAATAACCATTAAATGTATTGTTCTTCTACAGAAAGAAATAACTTGTCTCCTATCTCTGAAACTTTTTTCACTTGGATGCTTGTTATCGCAGCAGCCAACAGATGGAGACTTTTACTATGATGTGTACAGTTCTTTAGAAACAAAAAAATACTGTCACCAGACGCATGGTTTCTTTTTCACTCTATTGACAGGAGAAGTCCTTAATTATGCCCAACTGGAAAGAACTGCATAATTATGAGCTCCCTTAGAAAATTTTGCATGATGTGGGAACCTTTTTTTGAGCCGGACTTCACCGATATCCTTGAACGATTAATCATGTATTTTAGTGACATCAAATTCTTAAGTGTCAGGCAGTTGTTCAATCAACAAACATCATGTTGTCTATCTCTGTTTTATTTGGAAAATATCAATGCACAAATTGAGGGGAAAGAAATAAATGAAAAAATACTGTCTGGGGTATCTAGATCAGTGGTTCCCAACTGGTGGGTCACAGTCCAAAAGTGGGACACATGGGTCCATTTTGAATGGACCACAAGTGACTCGCAAATGTGTCAAGTTTGTAAAAAAAAAACACACTTTATTTTGAAATATGCTAAATTTCTGCCACAGAGCTTTTATTTTTAAGTGTGTTTCCTGCTGTAGAGTGAGTGACTAATGGGCATATACTTGATGGACATGGTAAACTAGCTTGACGACATGGCCAAACACAAATATGACACTGAATATATTCAGCTGTGTGGCCCTTGAACTGATGACTAAGGAGGAATCTGGACCCCATGGCTGGACCAGGTGTGAACCACTGATCTAGATAACATCATCTGGTGCAGATCCCACTTTCCCTACAAATGTCTCCAGCTGATATCAACCACACATTATAAGTGGTTCAAATGTTACCGTCAACGTAGAATCCCTCTTTACACCAGTAGCACTGGAACTCGTCACAGACTTCACACTGTTTGTCTTCACATGGATCACACACCATGGTGTCGTTCACATTGTAGGTCCGATCTGGACAGGACTGATGACAGTCTGAGCCCAACCTGACAGACAGATAAAAAGACGGACAGTGTAAATATGAGGACACATAAATATGAGGGTGCAAGTCAATGAAACTCAGCCTAGAGACTTACTGGTAATAACCATCTTCACATTTGAGGCAAACAGTTTTTTGAGCTCCTGAATCCTCTGTGGAGAAGAGCAGAAGTTAAACAAAGCACTAACAACAGATCAGACATACTGTGATTGTGAAAAGAGCCATAGTATTAGTTGTTGCAGCTTCTGTTTGAGGGGAGACATTTCCCAAATGTGATGCGTAAATATGCAAATGAGGCAGTATCAAATTAAATTTCTGCTTATTTGCATACATGTTCAGAACAAAATGTGAACACTGGCTAAAGCCAGTTCAAATTCTTGTTTGATGTTGTTGCCATATGAGAATCAAAGGTTTTTGCAGGGGGGATTTTGGACATATCTCTATATTTTTTTTAATCACAAAAAACTCTGATTCTCCATGATCTTGGGAATAAAATGTTTTATTAATCCAGCTATGAATGACATATGAACAAATCCTTTTGTAAAAGCATTTAAGTACAGCTTGGAAAAGACATAGAAAGTTTGGTGGAAAAGTGCTTCAGAAATTAAGATTTCTGGCTCAGAGTTTGCCTGATATCAGACTGAACTGTCAACTCATTAACGGCATTTCCATCTTAATTCAGTCAGTCAACTTGGACTCAGTGGAGTGAGCGTTATCAGAGGTCTGGACAAAGACAAGCTCTGAATATAAGATTTTTTTTTTTTTTTTGAGAAAATGTAATTTAAGGATATATAACTAATCGATATAACCATGAAATCTGCCCAGTTGGTTACTTACATTAAGACAATTCTATTTTTGTATTACAAGTTTAGTTTTCTAACATTTAAATATGCAACTGGGGCACTGTTTAATTAAATATGCTATTTTTGCATATATTTCCAGAGCAGAAATGTAAACCAAAATAAACACCTAAATGTGTATTTTGGACGTTTTCTCAACACTAGTCTGAAAGAAGATGTTACAGAAGCAAAATAGCCCAAAATCTCAAAATTGACCAGTGGAGGAAAAACCTGTTTCCACCTGTAGTGTCTCCCATCAAATTACATTTAAATATGGTGAGGTACCCTTTCTGTTCATAGTAAATATGATATTGAAGATAATATTATTCAGTTGGTGGTCATCTCTTTATGTATTTCAGTTGTGAAAATGTAGACACCCCATCTCAACTACCTGCACTGTAAATTTTCTAATCTCAGTTTCCTGTGACACCAGCAGGAGGCACTCTGACAACACACAATAAATGTGTGCCGCTCGCTGTAGAACTGAATGGCGCTCACAGATCAATCATCAGCTGAGTGTGATCAATGTAAAACCAGCAAAAAAAAATCGAACCCAGAAGCCTTCAAACAAATGTAAAAGTCAAAGAGTCTCTGCAGGCATTTTAGTTCACGTCCATAATGTCTGTTAGTTTCTCTCATCTTGAAGAGGTCAGAAGTCAAATGCTGCTGCTCTGATGTACTGTGTGGTGGGTCTAGTGTGTCTGTTTGTGTGTGTGTTTCTGTGCTGTCTGTGCATTATGCACTGCAGGTGTACTTTTGCAGAGTGACACAAAAAAAACAAGAATAATTTGAGCGACGGGTTATGTAAAACACTTGCATATTTGCTATTAATGTGTTTTTTTTTAATTCATTTTTATGTCATTGGAGACCAGGGAACCTGTGCAGGGGATATTAATAAGTAATTCAGGTGTGTGTGACAGAGGCTGTTTTTGTACACACACCAAAGGAGAAAGTTCATTTCCCCTCCGAACTAATTAACTCCTGCTGTCAATCAAAACCATCCAACTGGCAACTGAGGAAGGCAACTTAGGAAGGGCCACACTGTCATCCCGTAGTCCAACAATGTCAAAACATCTCCAAGGACCGAGGGAGCGAGGAGGGGGGCAAGAGGCAGAGGAAGAAAGGATCAGACAGGAAGCAGAAAGAGAGAGGGAGAGACAGGGTAAAGGAGAGATATAAGGAGGGAGAGAAAGAGATGGAAATAACCACTAAAAAGCCCCTGCTGCAGACTCTCCCTAGGGACATTCATCCTCTCCAGAAAAGCCTCCATCGACCCCCACACCCCATTCCTCTCTCAGTCTCCTTCCAGCACCCAAAACTTAACACTGCACTGGTTTGCACTTCAATGCGGTCGACAAGCCACTACCTGTGAAAGCAATTACTCATACAGAGAGAGAGAGAGACTGGGAGAAAGAAAAGGTGGGAGGGACAGAGGAGCCGGAAATCATGCCTTCAGGCTGTGTCTATGTGAAGAGAGAAAATAGCTCCCGCATAAATATTAACTGTGAAAGCCAGGGGAGGGGGGGATTTCAACAGAATTTAAACTGGCATCCTGAAGTATGCACTTGTGGAATGTGCAAGCACTCATACGCACACATTTACCACACTCACAAACTACATATTACACGCATTACATACAGTACACACACACTATCACACATTTAAGTGCTCAGTCTCAGTTACGAGAAGTGATACAAAGTCAGGAGTGACGATGGATGAATTCTCCTTCACCTTCAATTATCACCTACTAAGATGTGATTGCTGTTTGTGAGTGTTTTGCTGATAGAGAAACACATACAGATGTGTGAATATAAAGCAAGCAAAACATTTCATGAAATAGACAGATTTTATTAACTGTATGAGATCAAATCAGGTAAAAACTCGAGTTGAAATGCAGCGGTGCCCTGAGAAAGTTTTCATAGAGGTTTTCAGATGGAGCCACTGGACAAAAGCCATAACTGAATTATAGGAATTCCTTTATGCTGCATTAGTATATAGGCTAGTTGAAAGCTATGTCAATATCCTCCTGAGACCCTGCGTCCCCATATGTGGACATCACATTTTGGATTTACTTGACCTAATCTTTCATTCTACTTAACTCAGACCTGTTGTCCTCATATGTGGACACTTTTTTGTGCCATCTAGTGGTAGTAAGAGCACAATACACTAATCTATGTAAAAACAAGATGGCAGCCATCTCTGCCAAGTCAGTCTGCAGCTGATCCCGACACACAAATGGACAAGGTCCAAAACCTGATCACATTTTGTGGTTGAAACTTCTTTATTTATGATTAATATTGTTTGTTGCTTGATATGGCAACAAATTTGTCTCGTTTGAGGACAGTGGGACTTTGTTATCATTGACAATGTTTAGGTTTTTATACTTATCAGGTCCTACTGATCTCAAATAGCTAGGAGAAATTAAAATGCATACCAAACAAAAGTTAATGTCTCAGGAGGATATAAAAGTTAAGGAATAGCATACTGATATACTCACTTTCTTATGTTACAGTTTACATTACTAATCATCTGATTTGCATAGACTAATACCAGTATAACTGATATTTATTTACATATCTGTATCACATGTGTTGGCCGATTTATTGTTTTTCATAGGAGCTGGTCCTTTTCCTTACAAAAGACAAATATGTAACTTCAATGTGAAGAGTACATTGATTGTAAGAGAACAAAACATTTAGAGGAAACAAGCCTTCTCCAGTTTAAGGGAGACTCTTGGATACCCACAGAACCCATTTTCATTTAGAATCCCTTTGAAAATGGTGGTTCCCTCGCCAAAATGTTGCTTTGCTGACAGGGGGAGAGCGGCACATGCTGTGTTTGTTTACTTGAAAGTTCTTGTGGTTTTTGGGGTGACTAGATGAAATATGGCAGAGTTAGTCTCAAAAGAAAACTAAAACTGTGCCAATATGACAACATTTTGAATTTGGAGCTGATGAAACAGCTGTCCTAACTGAGTGTGAGTGCTCAAACTGAACTTTGGCGGACTCCGTACATATATATTTTTTTTATTCCTGTCCCTCGCTTTGACAGCTCTACAACGGACAAGAAATGGCTGATTCACAAAGTTGAAATAAAAAAACATCAACACAAAACCTCCTTATTTCACTACTAAAATCAAAAAACAGTGGAAGCTAACTGGAGGAAGATAGCAGGGAGCAGAACGTTTCTGGTAAGCTAAATGATGATCTCTAATAACAAGCTTGGCTACTTGCTGTTGGCTGTATCATTGATCATTTCCAGTACATATAACAATATGAAATGTTTTCTGTTTTAGATGGTACAAACATAGAAAGACAGATTGCTCACAGTGGACAGAGAGCTCCAGTGTCACATGATAGTCGGACGCTTGTTTGCCGTCATTATGTTCCACTCTAGAGTGGCTGCTGAGTCAACTGCAACACCTGGTAAAATTCAGTATACCCATCCAGTCCAGTGTCTGGCTTAATATCAAACTGATTTGAACATTTTCACACCAGCCCAACTCCAGCCACAGCCTGTTTAAGACAGTATTACTGGCCTCCACTTGGAGATGCCACTGGTGACACAAGCTTTTGGGATGCCAACAGTCTCTGAGCAGCAAGATTCCAGCTCCACAGTGAAGGAGCTGTAGGATTATTTCAAATGCTTCTTTCCTGAAGCCTAATAGAACCAGTAAAGATCAATAGTTATTGATATTGAAACAAAGAAAGTAAATAATGCATTGGTGCATTCCACAGTGTGTGTCAATCATCTTAAACACTCATGGTCAAAAAAGGTGTCTAGCAACCCCAGTCAATAAAAAGCAAAAGCATACTGAGATGTTGGAACCAAAGGAATGAGAGAAGCGAGGACACAGACACACAAGGAGGAGGACTGGTGAAACTCTGAGGAAATCTGAACACAGAAGAGCACACAGACTAATTAGAGATGTGTCAGGCAGCAGTGCTCCCTGACAGAGGAAGCCATGGAGCCATGTGCCAAGGAGAGCCAAGATAATGAAGCCTTTTTATCCCAGGTAAAAGACAAGGTCTGGTGAGTTTGCCAGGCTGAGAGAGGTCTTATCACTGGCCTACACAATGTGCATCACTGCCATTCCCTAAGTTACACAGAGTCAAGTCAGTTTTGTTTATATAGCCCAGGGCTAGGCAACCTGTGGCTCCATAGCCACATGCTGCTCTTACATATTCTTATATTCTTTAATTGTAAAAAATGTGTAGCATATACACAAATTAAAGTAAAAATCAATTTGGCAGTGCTCTCTGGTGCATCATACATCTACAGCCTGGCGCATTTTCATCATAATTTTCGTCAAACCTTAATAGCGGTAGCCGGTCTTGACTCTAACTGGGCTAGCTATGGATTCTAAATGCAATCCAAAATAAGGAGAAGTCTTGGAGACAAATTGTTAGATGAATTATACTGCATGGACAGATTAATTTCCTTTCACCACCAATGCTGCAAAGTTCAAGTAACAAGCAGTCATAAAAAGCCCACTGCAGAGTCGCAATGTTTTGTTGCCCAATATCACAATTTTGCACTCAGGGGCATTGAAGTCTAGATCCTCAATTTGGATAATGGGAAAACTCCACCCAGAGAACCTTTACCAGGCAAGAAAAGTTATAAAATACCTTTCAACCCTTGTCACATGGTTAAGGAGTATAGTATGCAAAGATGATTAATGGGTATAAAATTGGTGATGAGTTAGAAAGAAATACTGAGGTAATTTGATGAGGGTGATAGGATGGAGGATGGGCTGCTGCATCTTATCACACACCGTCAGGCTGGCAAGCTCATTGATAGACCTCACACAAAGGCACAAACTAACACAAACACACTCCTAATCTTAAATGAGCGGTTCACTCAAAATGAAACTAAAACCACAACCTCGAGTGTAAATGTTTGGCCTTAGAATACATGGAAATCTTGGGCTGGTGCAATGTGAGGAGCATCCAAAACTGCCTCAGTTCCCAAACATGTCTTCACATTACTGTAAATGTCTTAGCTCAGTGATGCAGAATGAGGACATAGTGTAGACATGCACACACATAGTCGATGCCAGACACTACACGTTCGGTTTCATCTTCACTTTAGCCCGTAGCAACGCGTCACAGGGCCAATCATCCCCAATCTCTAATCTGCTGACTGACTTGTTTAGCTGCAGAATTGTGATTACGAAGAGCGAGTGGGTGGCAGCGAGGCTGTGGTGGGGATGAGAGAGAAGAAAGATCTTCCACCCAGAATGCATAATGACATAATAACACCCCGTCTCCACCTGCAGACTGGTTCAGCACAATAACAACTTTCTACGGTATGTCGGTGTAACCATTTCTGGGAGAAGGAAGTGCCTCTCGTCTTGATGTGGCTTGTACTGGCAGGGTGAGGTGTAAGAGCACAGGGAATGAGATTTACACTGATTGTATACTGTGTGGTTTAAGTTTTCACATTTTGCAGTGTTGAGAGAAAACAACACATTGTATTCAAAACACCATTTGGAAAAAGAGTCTTTTGGTATCCTCTTTTGTTCTTTACAAAAGTATGTTGATTTGTCATATGTATGAAGAGTTTGGAGGAAAACAGCTGTGGAAGGACAAATAATTACCAGCTGCATTTACCTTTTTTAACCCTTTGCAGGATAGATAATGTCTGCCTCTGGCATAAATTAGATTTCAGGTAGTGTTCCTTGTGGAGAAGATAATCAAAAGCGAAGTGAAAAGTCTAAGTTAAGTTTAAAGAAAGGGTCTTTGCTTTGTCCAAATGACTTTCCTAATGAATGAGGCTTATGGGAATAAATGTAAGGTTCATTAACTGCAGAACACAGTATATTTCAGCACCTTAGCTCAGTTGTTTTAATATATCAGCAGTAGTAGAGAGCCTACAGCAAAGAGTGAGGTACGACAATAATCAATGGTGGCGTCATTAGTAAATGCAGGCACCCCAGCTCACACTGTCAAACATGTTTACTAAAGCATCCTTTATTAACTGTCATCTTTTGGTCACAAGCTTTCCCATCATCTCAGTTTATCTCACTCCTCTGGACTGAAATGCAGTGGCATCTCCACAGCGGGGCAGAAAAAGAGGTGGGTATACCCTGTATATCTGTGTATACCCTCCACTTCACCACTGAGGCCGACATTACTGCCATTAAGAGGCTGTGGCTCGTTCATTAGGTAAGCTAGTGTGAAGGTAGTGGTATCCTGTGAAACTTGACCAACTAAGGCATCAGTTGGTACCACCCATGTTGACATACTTTGTTGGGAAGGTGGCTAGATAATGGTCCAAAATTAGGCTAAAATTGGTGAGGGAAAAACTGGCATGGACCCTTGAAACCTCCCCTTAAGCTGTCTGAATGAAAATGGGTTTTGTGGGTGCCCACGAGTCGCCCCTGAACTTGTGAGGGCTTGTTCCTGGTATAGGTCTTGTTGCTTACTGTTATGATAGCTTTAATGGTAGTTCAATGAATGTCTTGTGGGTGTGGCTTAGGCAGGTGGTAGGAGGCAGGGTCAACACTGACGTCACACTTGTGGGATGGTGGTATTGACTCATTAGCCGCTATTAGCAGCACCTGGAGGAAGAGCTGGAGAGGCCTTTGAGCTGAACGGGCACGCCATGAGAGAAACGCGGAGGCAAGACATTTTGAGCGTTTGACACGCCACCACAAATTATCAATCTAAATACACATTCACGAAACAACCACGAAGAAGAGCAAGCTGACAGGCCAACTGGTCCAACGGAACGGCACCCGAAGGTTGTCCATTGGAGTCGTCCAATCCGAGTGAACTGGTCTCGAGGAGCAAGAGCGGTGGCCTGGCAGTGAGTCAACCACACTAAAACCCACTTGATAGGGAGGTCACACTCACCCAGGGAAGTCCAGGCACATTTTGGGCTACGTTACGGACTTGCTAACCTTAGTCGATGAGGTTTCACAAGCCAGGTTTAGCATAGCAGTGTGACACTTACACTCAATATACTTCTTTAAATTAAAGCTGTATATTTGTCCTTTTAGGGAAAAGAAAAATCAGCCTATTTAAGGAACAATAAATTGCGTAACACATGTACACAGATACAGATACACCTTACAACAGGGTTTTTGTTTACTGAAGTCTGAGGACATCAGATCATTAGGAATATTAATTGTAAAATAAGAAACCAAATTATGTTAGCATGCAATTCCTTAACTCTCATATTGACATAGTTTTCAACTAGCCGATATACTTCAACAGCTTAATCATATTCCTGAAATTCAGTTATGGCTTTTGGATTTTTTGTGTGCCACCTCAAGATTTTCAGTGGCCCCATCTCGCCACCCCTATGAAAAATTTCTAGGGGCCCCACTGCTGAAATGATGAAAGTCTTCAACTGTGAAGATGCGAGCAGTTTGAAGATATTGTGGTGTGTCATGTAGCTGCAGTATATAGCTCAGCAGCAGCAGCTATATACAGCTATATACTTGGTGTTATTCCCACAGTTTGATTGATGGAGAGGGTGAAGAAGGAGGAGAGAAAGTGAGGAGTGAGATTAAGATGTGGTCTACTTACTGCGCTCACATTTCTTGCAGCCCTCGTCACAGGGAATACAGTCCTCTTTATCGGCGTCTGCAACCTCACCTGATGAAAACAGCAGATAAAACAGACGATTAAAAATGCATGACACATAAGAAAATGATGCAGTAACATATGTCCATTAGTATTCTGCAAACAGCATCAAAGATCACTGAAAAAGTGGCAACAAAGCAGCTTGCAAATTGCACTTCACCCAGTGCAATTTGGTTTTAGAGAGCTGAGACTGACAAATGTTATCTGATAGAGGAAATTAAGTCACTGCAGCACAGGTCCACTGAATTTGTGTGGTCAGCTTTCTCCATTACAGCTGCAAACTTTTGGAACACAACACCCACCTTGATGAGACTGCTCTACTCTCTCTGGTTTAAAATCACAGTTAAAAATGAAGTTTATGAAAGTTGATGAAATATAGCTATCAAGCTAACTCATAGTATCTGTTGAACAGGTGTGTAGGACATGTTAAATGGTAAATGGACTGCACTTGTATAGCGCCTTTCTAGTCTCCCGACCACTCAAAGTGCTTTTACACTGTCACATTCACCCATTTACACTCACAGTCACACACTGGTTGCTGAGGCTACCATACATGGTGCCACCTACTACTCAGTAACCAGTCACACGCACTCACACACTGATGGAACAGCCATCTGGAGCAAATTGGGGTTCAGTGTATTGCCCAAGGATACTTCAACATGGGGACTGGAGGAGTCAGGCATCGAACCGACCTTCTTCCGACCAGCTCTACCTCTGACCCACGAAGTATAATATGATGAATATGTTTTCTTTGGATTGTTTAGTTTAATTTTTGAAAATAAGAATCATTGTGTTTTTGTTACCTTTGAACAAGCTGTTCATCATACGTTTATAATAATACCTAAATACATGATGCCAAGATGGTGCCTATTCATTCCAGCAGAGCTGCTCACCTGGCATATAATGTTTCACCCACTGGCCCCACCCACAAGTTTCCACTTGACTCGTAGACGTAACATTGTGATGACGTCACATATTTTTAAATTGCTTTTCTCGGCTCAAGGAAAGTTTAACAAATATTAAACCAAGTTTCCCTTTACATTCATTGTCTTGTGTGGCGATCAGCAGTGATGTGGTGGTTCACTTTTACACTGTGATCTGTAGCCTATAGTTCGGCTTTAGCTTCTAACTATCTTTGTCTTTTTAACCTGTTGTTGCTGCTGAGTCAGTTTGACATCCTGGATATATCCTTCAAACACAGACTGTAGACCCCTCTGTCTGCTTCTCTCTGGAATCACTCTTTCATTTTTCCAAAAATATGATGATATGTCTTCAGGGAGTGCAGTTAGTTGCAGTGTGGGCTCCATGCTTACTCTGACAGCTTGTGGGACCATCATAAAGGGGCGGGGCTTAGAGAAAGGTCAACTGGGCTCCCAGTAAAAGCCTCCTGAACAATGAACACTGAAAGAGCTCTAACCGGGACTTTACACTTGGCACAATAGAGAAGTTTCCCCTCATTGCAATTTGCAGCCCTCACTGCGAGATGCCACTAAATCCTGCACACAGCTTCTTGGAATAAAAACAAATAAATAAGATACATTTTGTCAATATGTGGCTTCATGTTGATCGCTTAATACTGGATGACAAAGTTGTTTAAAATAAGGTTTGATAGTGGTGAAAAATAAATTGTAATTTACTCTCAAGCCTGCACTTTTCTTTGTTTGTCATAACAAATGACTCACAGCTGCTTGAAGTGGAGTGCAGTTAATCTTAAAGACACGACAATCAAATTACTATCTGTCTCATAAATTACCACCATAATGTTATTTTTTGTGATCAATCAATAAGATGCTGTCAGTTTAAGAATTAAGCACTTCGCCATGTTTTTATCTTTTAACTTAATTTTGTAGTGTTTATATGTTGAACTTTTTTTATTTACGTCACATCAATCAATGCGGTGTCATTGCGCTGCCTGTGATACCACCAAAGGAAGAGATGTGATGAGAAAAACTGCCAAATTAATACTTGTATTTCACCCACTCCGGAGTTCAAGCTGTCTGTGGGGCCTGTTGAGACCTGCCTGCTACACATGATAAGAATTTCGTCTCATCCTCCCACTCATACATTTTCTATCCGCACATACAAACTGTCATCATTACCCTTCACCTCACCTCACATTCAAGGTTGTGAAGTTCTCACTCCCAGCCACCACCCCTCCTCTTTATCTGAAATATCTAACGTAATAAACATCCTCTCACTCAAAGTATTTCAGCTCTTTCTCAATCCTCCTTTGGCTGGCATTCACATTTGATCTCATATGATGAGATGAAGTGTAATGTGTTTATCTTTCACAATCTCCCTGGGCATATTAAATACATTCAACAAATGTCCTTAAATTGAATAGATTAAGGACAGGATTTAGAAGCAAGAACACATCGACACTGACTGGATTTGTCTTTTAGGGCATTTTTCATTTATAAAAAATGCTCTCTGTTTTATAAGCTTATCATGTAGCACCAAAACACAACTGTATTTTTATTTCTGTTATGGTGGTTATGCTTTATTGAGTAAAGTTTTGTGGGTATATGTCTTTTGTCTTCTGATACTATGCAGATTCTTTTGTGCCTAGAAATCACCTGAATCACCTCATGGACACACTTCATTTTATTCAATTCGGCTTTATATACTTGAATATATGCTTTGTGTGTGAGTAGTAGGGGCTACACTCATATTTGACTCCGCAACCTTGTGTTGTAAAATGACAAATAAACGAACCTTGTAACTTTGTGAAATATTACTGTTACCTTCAGAAGCTTAAAATTCCTCCTCTGAACTGCACATTTTTCACACCTGACATTGAGAAGAAGCCAATGGTTTCCTATTCTGTGGTCAATATATGCAAATTATAAACTATATGCATTTGTGCGCGGAGCTCTGGGTGTTGGCAGATTTTTTTTGGCACATTTTGTGTTTGAATTTTAATACTTTTAAAATGAGGTCACTGTGCTACATATGTGTGCTACATATGTGTTCCCCGAGGTGACAGTTTGCCAAATTCAGCCCAGCTCTGTGACAGTGGTGCTGAGAAAAAGTGGCAGCTACAAAATCCCTCCCAAACTCTTCACTTATTTAACGACAGTGAGATGTAGATTATTGTCGTTATACAACATCAAAGTGGTGACCCACCTATTTTACTGTTTTATTCTGCAGAATTAACAAAGAGTGATTTTCATAGCGATGTTAGTGAATGAACATGTGACAAAGTCTCATGTGGCTCTACCAGCATCTCTCACCTGCACTGCACTCCAGCGGGACACACTGTCCATTTCTGAGCTTGTGTCCTGGGCTGCAGTGGAGGCAGTGTTCTGCTGACGAGCAGATGATACAGTCTGTAGGACAGTGCTCACACCGTTTCCTTGAAGAGCTGAAGAACCCCTCTGGACAGACATCCCGGCATTGACTCTGAAAGAGGTACCTGGGGCCCCCAAACTTATCTAGAAGGAGAAAATAAAAGGAAATCTGTACGGGAAATGTTGTGAAGGACCTCTAGCAAGTGAAGAACAAAGAGTGCTGATGCACAAAGCAGGTATGCAGACATACTCAGACAGGGAGTCATACACTTGTACACACATGTACACAAACGCTAATTCATTATACATGAATATTACAGCAGACAAAATATTTTACTGCAAGTCTGAGCAGTACGTATGGATGCTTTGGTCTAATAACGTTTGGCATAAACACAGTTACACATACAGTACATGTGTTCATACATATGCATAAAATGTTGAACACGTATCAACATTGAGGCACTGGGAAAAAACAAAAAAAAACAGTAAGAGTAAAATGTATAGAAACAAAGAAAGGACATAAAAATACATTTTATAGGTGGCTGAATACCTTATTGAGATACTTAATTAAAGATATATGACCTACTAGAAGTGTGTGCTAGTGTATTTTTCTGCAGAGACTCTGCCCTCGCCTGTGTTTTTAGATTTTCAGGCTGGTATTTTCTCCTTATTTTCTGTGTTCAGGACGTTTATGGGCATGCACTCCCACAGCACTCAGGTGAGGTCAAGGGTTATAAAAAGTTAGTGAGGCGAAACTCGAAAAGCTAGTAAATCTGGAGTTGGCTTTTACTTTCACTTGCGCTGGGGAGTTTGTTTACAAACAACACATTCTCACTCCAACCTTGTCACATATCGACATTTGGTCATGGACATTCCACATCCAGATACGATGTAAAAGGTTCTCTGGGTGTGTTGGTCGTTGATGCTCTGGGACGCTGTGTTAAGTTCTGCCTGTTACATGTATTGTCTTTCAAAATACACTTCTGTTTTCACAGGAAAAACATTTACATACAGTCTCTTTCAAAATAAACGCATTACATTGGTACAACGCAAACTGACTTCTTTTTTTTCCTCAAACAACAGATGCACATGGTTGGGTTTAGGCAACAAAACACATGGTTAAGTTTGGGAAAAAAGAACAAGGTTTGGCTTTTGAATCTCACAGGACGCAAACACCGCTCTCCCACATTCAAGTCAGTGTTTGTTAAACCATACATCACCCCTTTCACCCACCCTACTTGGACGTTTGGCGCCTTAACTTTCGTTCTTGTCCCGCAGCATTTCCCCCTGACACCACCAAGCGCTGTAAAAGTATAACGGCAACCGCCCGAGTATTATGCCGATATTATAGGATGGTGTTTTTTGTCAGTGTCTGATGCCACAAGTCACTGTCAAAGCATCGGATTTTGACAACTTCGGAGTGAGACCAGTTGGTTACAACGGTTACCAACATACCTGCATAGCATACCTTCAGTGTTATCGCTGAAAAACCACTAAACTGACAGATTTTACTTTGAAAACGATGCACTGTATCTGATATATGTGGCTTGAATTACCCTCCCTCTAATTTCCAGCAGGTCATTTCAGTATTTGCAATTTCAAAAACTATGATTTTTTTCCCGGTTTTCCATGTTGCTCATTTGAACCTGTCTTTCTTGGATCGCTTGTTATTATTCGTTTTTGTTTTATCGATATATCTATCCACCTATCTGTCTATGTACAATTTTGTAAAGCTCTATATTACTATCAGAGGTCAGTGTCAGGAGTTGTCTGCTCGGTATGTACCACTTTGTGTGTGTGTGTGTGTGTGTGTGTGTGTGTGTGTGTGTGTGTGTGCGTGCATTGGGGGGGTGACTGGCCAAGATAAGAGAGGTTGTTTTGAGAGAGAAATGACACAGGGAGAGACAGATGGAAGGTTTCTACATGTTATTATTGTTATGTCTCATTGAACCTCAGACAGACCTGCAATTAAATGGAACCACATTTGCAAACACAGTCTGACAAACTTACCGGCTAATTGAGAGTGTGTGTGCACAAGTGAGGGTGAGAGAGAGAGAGAGTGTGTGTGTGTGTGTGTGTGTGAACGGGAAATCTGGTGTTAATCTTCTCCTTGGCTGTCTGGTATCTTAAAAGTATGTGTGTGAATGTGCGTGTGTGTGTAGGTGGGTGTGTGCGTAACAGAATCTCCCCAGTGTAAATACATTCATTCTGACAGCCATAATACTGTCTGTGAAACTGTGATAAACACAGTTATTACTACCTCCTTCAAGTTGATATTTCTTCAGCTGTGAGCCTCTAATGACGTCCGGGTTTTATCATAAAGATTTTTTTTCACACTGATGAAAATATTTTTTTTCCCCTCACAGGATGTTAAGATCACAAAACTGACCAGAAAGTAAGATCTTTAAAGGAAGCAAACGTAGTCATCTCACACACACACACACACACACACACCCACACACACAGCTTGTCCTTTAACTGAGCTAAAATCCTGAAAGATGTGCGGTGACTTCTGTGTGAGGACACAACGAACTAATGACTGATTCCCCCTTTTAACACATCTATCAGCAGGCCTTGGCTGAATTACTGCTTTAATTAGATTCATTTACCTTTAGAGGATTGATTGGTGGAGTCTGGCACAAATGAGCCTTGGCTTGATCCATGTGATGTTACGAAAAAGCACGATTTCACTTACATTCCAGTCACAGCTAGATAGATGGGATTTTAAGTGAACACCAGTGCACCTCTGCAAATAGCTACCTGTGTCACTTCAAAGGCTGAGAGCGTGCAGGTTTTACATGGTGGGAAAGAAAAGAAGGAAATTGTTCTAATATATATGATTGTAAATATGGCTTTAGCTGAACTCACAGGTCCTGTCAGTTGAAGCAACTGATTCATGAAATACAAAAATGTTTTTTCCTTTTTTGGTTGAATGGGCATTTCATTTTCAAACAGCAACAAATAAAAATGGAGTGTTTTCCAAATCTTGACCAGGGACGGTGTACCTCTGTCACAGCTGGTGCAGTTGTCAGGTCCCTCATCAGTGCACTCGTGGCAGGTGTGGTGACAGAGATGACACTGCCTCCCCATGGCATAACGCCCCGTCTGGCAGCGGATGACGCAGCTCCCATCATCAAAGAGCCTGCAGGTGGGGATGTGGTTTAGAATGAACATGCAAAATCAACCTCAGCCAGTCTAAATAAAATACATATTATGTGCAATTTACACATGTAAACAGTTGCATTTTACATAAAATAGTACAAACTGCCCAAAAATCTTAAGAAACCATTATGAGATCATAAGTTTTTGTTATGCACTCAGCTCAGTATCAGAGGTTGCAGCCCTGAATGTTTTGTCAAACGCCCCAAAACTCTAACTTTGTGCCATTCAGATAATAATGCACTGTATGCCCATGTTGTTTATGCTATTCCCTAAATAAATCTAACATAACTGAGTAAATGTTCTTCTGTAGGCCTAATAATAATTCAGAGTATTGAGGACCACATTTGCCTATTATTGTTGGGGATCCTTGATGTGTAATTAGAGCAGCCCAGGTTATTACAGCATGGATTCCAATTTAGCAGATTTGTCAGATAAACATTCATTCTGTGAACTGAAGCCAACACAGAAGTGCCAAAAACAACAACAGTTCTTCTTATGACCACTTGAGGCTGGCTCCAGATGCCAATCAGTCCCATAGACTTTAAAAATAATGGACGTAGCTACCATGACGTCACCCATTGGTTTGTGGACCCCTGTTTTGAAGCCTTGAGTTTGGCATTTCAGCCATCCCCATCTTGTTTTTTTTGGAGCCAGAAGTGACCATATTTAGGCGAGAGGCTAATGCTGTAAAGGAGCGAGGGGTGGATCTGACTGAGAGGCCGAGGTCACCATCGGGAGACAACCTGTCACTCAAAGTTGCCTTCCCTTAATTATGACTTTAAGTCTTATATAAAACTTAACCCCCTGTACAGTTGTCATGAAAACAGCTATAGAGACCAAAACTGTTTTTGTACCAGGTTGTAAACATTTTTCTTTCTGCTGTAAAGTCAAACATTTTAATATGAGGGTCAATGGGGATTGACTAGCTTCTGGAGCCAGCTTCTAGTGGCCATTTAAAGAACTGCAGTTTTGGCACTTCCCATGCTGGCTTCATTTTTTCTGGGGGTTTTCTACTTTGTCACTCACCACAAACCCTCATGTTAAAATGCCCAACTTTATGGCAGAAATGCTTGGGTGCTTTGAGTGACAGGCTGTCTGCTGATAGTGCTGATCAGTCAGATCCACCCCTCGCACCTCTACGGCGCCAGCTTCCCACCCAAATATGGTCACTTCTGGATCCAAAAAAACAAGATCGTGATGGCTGAAATGCCACAAAGTCCACAAACCAATGGGTGATGTCAGAGTAGCTACGTCCACTATTTTCACAGTCTATGGTCTCAAGATTAGTGCTGCTGTTTATGCCAAATTCCTAACCTGGCCATGTTATGTAACTTAAAAATAGTAACATTAGAGAAGTTTTGCCTCTTTTTAGGTAGCAGGAGTGAAAATTAGTCATCCTCAACATTTGTTGTGTTATGGTTTCAGACTGATGAAGACAGTTGGAGAACAAGTAGGTGCAAAATAGGATGCTGGCTCTACAGGATGATTATTTTTCTCTTGGCAACTACCACGTTTTTCCAAAATGATGTATTGATTTTTAGGGGTCTTACTATCTCAAATGGCTTGGAAAAATAGACTGCATAATAAACACGGACAACATGCCAATGCAAAAGTGAAGTCTAAACATCTCAAGCCAAACTTAAAAAAAAAAAAAAAATTATTTGATGCTATAAAAAGGGGATTTGACGTCATGATTTACAGCTATGTGTGCCAATCGGTGTATTTGCAATCACTCCACTGCTTGGGATTGGCCGGATGGGTGTATGGGCAGGAGCTTGATACTGTGGTGATCGCTACTGCACAGACTCTGGTTTCAAATGGTGTCACCAGTGCAAGATGGCAGCGGCCATATTTTGACTTCATTTTTGTACAATTGTGTAAGTGGAAACACATTGTCCATCCTTGTAAACAGTCTATACTTGTAAAATAGTGCATATAGCTGCCGTAAATGCCCTTGGACCCCCCAAGGTTTAGGCTGGACCTTGAATGTTTACAAAGTCTGGCTCTACCCCTGCTGAACCCAAATATTTCTCAGCCTTAAAAACCTTGAAAAGCAGAATCTGTCACTTTAGAATAGACTTGAGAAAGACTGCAGAAACAAGGATTGTGGTAATATGGTAAATCTAATAATGGTAAATCTGCAAATGTGACCTCCCTAGAAAGCCACTAGTGAGTGAAACAGTGTCTGTAGTGTTGCTTTATATGATACACTGTTCATACAAGACAAATTAGACTCCACTGTCACACTTGGCATCTTTTAAATGGTTCTCACCGTGTCTCAGAGCAGCTGGTGCAGTCTTCTTCCTCCGGACCTGTGCACTGCAGACAGGTAGCATGACACAGGTGGCAATTTCTATGGTGACTCATGTACTGTCCTAAAAGACAGACAGTAACAGTGAACAACACAACTACACACCTGCTGCCTGACGATTCTCCCTCAAGTTATTTCTAACTTTTTTTTTTTGTTTGTAATTTTTTTTATTTATTTATTTACTTATTTATTTTACAAATTTTAGAATAAGGTGCTTTATTTTCATTTACCAGCTTTGTTATGCGTTTGCTCATTCTTTCCTTTTTACTTGAGTGACTTGAGTTGATGCTATGATGTGTCCTCCTTGCACCAATTATAACCAGCAGTCAGTTGTTTTTGTTTTCATGTCACTGAAGGTCCAGCTCATTATCCTCTGGCTTCTTACATCTCCTGCACAATAACAGTTATATTGTTTTTGTGTTGTCTTCCTCTCTCTCTATTTTGTTTTCAAATTATGTGCAAATACACCTCACAGGTTTAAAAACCTCTTTGAAAACATCAAGTTTGAAAGTATCAGTCATGGGCGTACTTTCTAATTGCCGAGTGCTTTAGAGTAAACAGAGATATGTGTTAGACCTTTTGAGCTTGAAGACAAGGTGAAGTTCCCCTAAACAACTCTGGACTTTTTATACAAACACAGATTATGACTGGTTTTCATCAGAAGCATGAATTTACAAAACCTCTACTTTACAGGTAACAGAAACATGTATCTATATACCTAAAGACATACTCCATGTTTGTATGTAAAGTAAACCGACAGAACCAGGTTTGCGTGGAGTTTACATTTTCTCCATTTTTGTGTGGATTCCTATCACAGTCTGAAGACTTGTAGTTTAAGTGAACTGGAAACTTCAAGTTATCCTTGAATGTATTTGTCTGGTGCACCCTGCCTCTCAGGGGTGACTTTAGCCTTTCTCAGACCTTGAGCAGACAGCCTAGTCACCAGAGTAACATTTTGGCATTGTACATTTCTGCAATCATTTGTATGTTTCATACGTTTCCTATCAACATTTCTAAGGTGAGGTAATTCAGATTACATATATATGAACTGAGTTTCTCATCAGGACATGGAGGGGATGGTGAAAGGCATCACACCATGCAAGACCACTATTAATGAACAACAAACGACAGAATTGTTATTATATTTTTAACAACACTTTGAACAACACAGTTCATGCTTGTATTATAAGTCAAAACATGATCTTTTCTGAACCCGAACCATGCAATTTTTGTGCTAAACCTAACCACACATTAATTACAGCATTACCAATGTGACATATCCCTGGTTTACAGAAACGTACAATGCTAACATATATTCTGGCCACTGAGTAGAACAGGACGGGCCGAGAAGACAGTTGGAAAATACTTCTTTGTGTTTTACAAAATGTCTAGATTAAGGCCCAGACACACAGACCACTTCAGAGATCCAGCAGCCAGGGCCCCTTGCTGCATCGCCTCATGTTGTCTGTGTCTCGGCCAAAAGGCGTACATTAACACACTGTAAAGACCTCAACCAACAGCCAACTTGCACGTACATTCTGTGCCTGAAGGAGAGGAAATAACTCCCCACACCAGCAGATGGCTGTCGTCTGCAACTGTCATACAAAAAGGGAAACTGGAAGACTGTCTTGACACTAGTTAGCCAGTTAGCATTTAAACAACGCAATCTAATGTTGAAAGAACAGAGCACATTTGCCGTGCACCAGTGAACAATAACACTCAACTTTAATGGGTAAAGAAAAACAATCTTACATTATGCAACAAGTTTTTTTTTGGTCTCACTTCCCTTTGAATTTATCTCTTTGTTTACTTTCCTTACCTCCTTTTCTCCTTTTGTGTTTTGAACTTAACTGCAAATCAGAGTGATTTTATTCACAGACAGGCTCCACAGTTGCTGACAGTAATTTAACATGCTGAATTGGTAGGAAGACAGGTAGGAGAAGCAATGGTGCGGGACACACTGCAGCAACAAGGTCCATAGACGCTCACCAACAGCCCAACATTGACTGACAGCCAACCATCGGCTTGGTGTGTCACAGCCTTTAGACTTAAAGGTCTCGAGTGCAGAGTTTAGTTGCATCTAGTGGTGAAACTGCAGATTGCTGTTACAACTGTATGTTCCCTTTTCTCTCCACTGTAGATCTGCCCAGGTGTGCTGCATTACTTAACGAGGTGCATTGCACCTGGCATGGAGGAGGTGCTTAAGAGCTCCTGTGCCAGCAGCAATGGAGAGAGGCCTCTGGTTTGGGGACTGCTGGTCCTGTTGCCTCTCAGCCTGGGATTGTTGTTGTCTTGTTTGCTTGTTTATTTGGAAATAAAGTTTTTAAAGTTGTCTTATGTGGATTTTTGGGTCAGTGATGGAGTTTTGTTCGCCCCATAGGGCCACCAAATTGCAACAAACTGAAAGCTATACCGTGTGCCAAGCGTGTAGGAGAACCATGGTGGCCAACACAAAAACACAGTGGCCCTATCTAGAGCCAGTGTTTGGTTTGTCCGTTCTGGTCTACTGTAGCAGCAACATGGCGGACTCTGTGGAAGACCCACACTCTGTGTAGGTGTAAAAAGCTCATTTTAAGGCAACAAAGACAGGGCGATTCTTATTTTCAGGTGATTATACACTATTGAAACCATAGCTTTCATATTGTATTTGATTACTGCCAGTATTTCCCCTTAAATCTTCCACAGTGGACCATTAAAGGGCTGCACCATAAGCGATATTTGACTTGTGTGAGTGACCATGTAATGGCATCATCAGCAGGTCTTTGGCTCAGCTACATGAAGGGGAAGTGAGTTAATAAGAGCAGAGATACAACAGAAGCATCTGCCATATCATAAAGCAACATTATGCAATAATACCAACTAGTAATTTGGTTGATTTTTACTCCAGAATAAAATGCCTTCCTGCAGCATCATGGCCACATCCTCCACTGTTGAAAATGCTGAAAATGTGCGTAGGTTTTGGAAGGACGGAAAGTTTTTTGTTGCAAAGCGGAGTACAGGCTGGAAATTGAGTTTTGGGTGCCAGAAATCTCAACACCTGGCAAAGCAATTGTTGAGTCACTGACACTGATCAAACGCTTTATCACACTCCAAGTATATTGGTATCATTAATGCACAATATGCAGCAGAAAAAGTCATACTTATCAAAAGTGCAATGTTTTAAATAAACTATGTTGACCATATTATCTTTTTTTACGGTGCACAAATACGTTAACTTTGGTCACATTCAGCCAGGTCACACATAATATGTATATAAGCTATTGTGTCCAAAGTTGCTAACGGATTGAGAAAGAAGTTCCAGAAAAACCCATCAACCTTCAGCTTCACACTTGGCAACACTGAAAAGAGCCGTAACAAAAGAGGCATAAACATTGTCTCCTATCCCACCTTTGTATTAGACAAAGGTGACAGACACTGGCTCAGGCATATGGATGGAGCTGTGTGTATTTTGTGTGCGAGCATCCTTCAAGGCAGCGGCGAGGTTGTCTGTGCTCTCTGGCTTTCTGTGAAAAGCTCAATTGTTCCTTTCAAAACAAAAGAGCTTCTTTGTGTACAAACACAACAGGCGGTGGCTTCCCATTCAGTAGAGCTCTGCTGAAACCATTCAAACAGCCCCCGAATAAACGCCGTCACTCTCACTCACACTCACTCACTCACTCACACACACACACACACACACACACATACACACACACACACAAATTGTCTCTGTCTTTCTGTTTGTCTCCCCCTCACTCACGCACACAAACAAACAGGGAGCCAAGTTCTCAAGGGACGGAAAGCCGCACAACTCCACTCAGCAAAAGCAGACACTTTGGACTCCCACTGCCAGACGGGAGAAGAATGGAGGGGAGAAGAAAGAGAGCCTGTCACTCTGGGGAGTAAAACTTTTCCTCTGTTATGGACTCGGCTGACCTTGTGAGGACATTGACAGTCAGGAGAGAGAGCTCTGCTGGCAGATATCACACTGACATCCACCACACCTGGTGCTGAATCCCAATTCCCTGGCCCTTCCACCTCTTGATACCTGCACATACTTAGGCCAAGAAAGTAGAGGAAAAAGACATATTCACACATCATGCAGATGGTCAAGACTGGAGAATATTAACTGTACTGTTTATTTCATATTGTGTACCTATTACCTCCAGTAAGTTAAGTCAGACTTAATGAATCCCAGCTGGATAGTGTCCTTAGTATTCCTCCTGTCCTAACTATCAGTGTGTCAATTGCCTCAAGGGCAATGTCAGGATTATTACCAAATAATGTCTTTTGGGGAGGAAAGTACAGACAAAACACGCATACTGATAACCATAAAGCCCCAGTGATGCCCATCCATGAGTTAGAGCATCATAACCTACAATTTCCCATGACTCCCCACATCATTTAAGTGTCATTAGATGCCAAAATTTGGCAGGATAATGTTAAAGGAGCTGTACGCAACATCCAGAGAATTCAATACAGCAGCAAACCACTATTTGCGATGTAAAGCTATAGTGAAGTAATGGTGTCTTGAGCAGAGAATGAAGTCACGCTCCCTCTGTGTGTGTTATAATCTGAGCTTCTCTGTTCTTCGGTGTGGTAGATGGTCCTGCTACGCGTGCATGTTATTGCATGTGAGTCCCTGTGTATGTATCCCACTGGCTAGCAGTGTTAGCTCCGTCACAACTGTTGCCGTTGTTAGCACTGTTAGCTGCCGGCTCAGCCCCCTCCATGTTGAGAGCTGCGTGCAGGCAATCCCAGCTGAGACTCTGAATCATTGAAATGCAGCTTCTTTAATTATGATTAAAGTCAGTGCTGGAGACGGCGTAAGCCATGAAAAGAGAATTTTGTTTGTTTAGTAAGGACTGAAATTAATATTAAAGGTCTAGTGTGCAGGATTTAGGGTAATGTACAGGCAGAAATGGAATATAATATAATAGGTATCTTCTTTAGTTTATAATCGCCTGAAAATAAGAATCTTTGTTTTCATTACCTCAGAATAAGCTGTTCATGTCTACATAAGAAATGGGTCCTCATCCATGGAGATCACCATGTAACACTGCCATGTCTCTACAGGAGCTCAGA